AAAATGAAAATAGATTTTTATGAGCTATAAGGCCATAGCTAAAGAGTCCAAAATAAAAAAAGCGAAGAGAGGAGCTGCTCAAATTAAGCATTCTTCATGGCCTTGATCGTTCGCATAACTCTCGAACGATGCAGTTAATTATGATTTTTATAATACTTATGATGATAGAGTTGTTTTTATTATTATCGCTGTTGTTATTGTTTTTATCGATGCTGTTAATAATGACATTGTGCACGTAGTCCGGTGCTATGGTTTGCACAGATACTTTATCTTATGCTAGGATGGTAGGATGCTAAGTTTGTTTAGTTCTGAGTACATACTTTGTTGGAGCGTTGAATAATTTTGTTAAAATTGCGTTATTTGAATTGAAGCTGCATAATCAATAATGCTAATAGCGCCACAAAGGCAAAGACTTAAGTCAAGAAATCAAAAAAAAGGAGTAAATTGAAATTACAATTTATAGGCGGGCAGGCAGTCAATTGCAATTCAAATGAATTTGCCTGTAATTTAGGAGTATTATGCCGTGGTCGATAGTACCAATGTAGATGTTGCAGTTAGTTCGCAGAGTCGCATAGTGTAGTTGTTGTATTTCGCATGCTACATGTTGTTACTTAATGTACGTACATGTTGTGATTAGAGTAAAGTATCTAATAGCTAAACAAAAAAAAAAGCAAGGAACGAGATAGAATACTGGATGAAAAATTGGTCATAATAACACAAAGGTAAGGTAGTAGCAACTGACGAGATATTTTTTCTTCTACTGTCATACGCTAAAGGTACTTGCAACAGAATATATTGCTATTGGTGTACCGGTGAATGATGGGTAGTAGCAGATGCCACACTGCTGATATTATGGCGTGACGTGGTGTTTTATTATTTATTTTTCTGGTTTTGTTTTGTTTTTATTATGGTTTCATACAAAATATAAGCATAATATACAATTTTTTTATGAATCGCTATGCTATCGCTATGCTATATTTTTACATTTTTGTGCAAGCGCAAACTGTAAGACCTCCAGACTAGGCAAATTATGCCCCCAAGTCATAGACACACACGTACACAGGAATTTACAAAACCGAAAGACAAATACTACCACAAAGTAATGCACTCATCAACAATCTTAACTTCAACCACGTCCTCATCAAACGCCTATATTAGTAATGTTCTGCAATAATGCAGCAGGTAAGGGTATATAGTATATATGTGCATAGCATATGCACGTTTCGCATATTATGAAACAATTACTTGCAACCAACCAACCAACCAAGTGCTGTTGCTGCTCCTTACGACACGATAGGGCATCAGTGAGACTATAAGGAAATAAGTAGATATGAGCCTTGCCGTGCATTTTGTATATAAAGTATTACAAGAAGGAGCTCAGGTAAAAAATTACTTTTCGCAAGTCTAATAAGAAAACTGCCCCAATAAAGGTTATGGTTACTGAGGGGAAATGTGCAATAAAGACATGAAAAAATATGCGGCATAATAATTTTTACAATAACTTGCCATACTGGCGAGGTCTGAGCGGTTAGGCTAGGCAAATTCTGCTGTTGCACTTTATATGCAAAAAAATGAGATACGTGCATATTAGAAATGGAGGTTCATAGGGATGCATACGAGAAGGATGTTGCTTTTTCATCATATCATCAACATACTGATTATGTTACAAATACTTGGCTTGGGAATTCTAAGTAGTGTTGAAGGCATACTGTGTTTCCTTATACTCGTACGAAGTTGCAGCTTAGATTGTTTATGCACAGATTTTTACTGCCTCCGTTTCGGCTCCTTGGCATTAGATTGTATATTATACCAATTTTGTTAAGTTAAAATCCTTAGGAATGGGTAAAGGTAATCATGTTGGCAATTGCTTGGTGTCATTAGTTGGGTTGCATGTTGTATAAATGCTTGCAGCGCTTTTGGTATTGCTTTAATGTTTTTTGTTGTTGTAAGCTGGTTATTTAGTTTATTGGTTTGACTGCTTGGCTTTTTGGTTGGCGGTTAATAGATAATAATGTATCTCAGCCCTTTCCTACTATAAAATTAATGTGAAAATAGCTGTAAGACTACATAATTAGATAGTTAAAGGATTATTAAATATCATGCGAATACCATTGCTATTGCCGCAATAAAAGCACGAATTTAAAAATTGCTTCCCACAAACTCAAAGAAGATACTAAATAATACTAGAGCTAGCCTATGGAATTATTGGTGTATTAAGAAGATATTTACAGATATGCAAGAGTTCTTTTATTTAATGTTTAAGTTTAAAATTATTTAATTTTTTCTGTCTTAAAACAATTGATAATAAAAAAAATAAAATAAAATATGTAAAATTTTATATATCATTCAGCTACATTAGTGTGCCTATATTTAGAATATTAGTAAGAAAATATAACTTTTAGCTATATAAATATCAATTAATTGTTTTTATTTACTTTTTTGTTTTGAATTTATTCGGAAGTATGATCTTGTTCTATCACAACGAATCACTATTTGAGCTGAAGTAGGCTTTAGACACAAGGCCGCTACTTCAAACATGATTTTGTAGCACTAAGTATAGTATGTAGATTCAAATGTTTTAATAAATTATATGTTTTTTGTAATTAAATGCACTTTCTGAATACTTCTTTTTGCATTTGATCAAACAGATTCCACAGTTTCGGTGATCTATTACAAAAATTTCTTTCCCATTTTCTTATGAATTCGTTTCAGATAAGTTTGTCTTTGGCGGAAGTCAATAAAAAAATTGTAAAACAAAATTAAAAAAATATGTTAACTTTATTTGTGATAACTATTTGAATCCTTACTATATGCTCATTTATTTATTAGCAGAGTTGCATTCATGGTTTAAAAAGTGCTGTTAATAAAGACACGTTTCTTTTTAAATCCAATTCTTAATAGAAGTTTATTAAGTTTAAATTAGCACTATTTAAAGACTATCGAAGAATTATGCTGTTAATGCAATACTTAACATAGTCAAGCATTACCAATTCCAAGATACAAATACACATAAATACTTCCAACGATTTTAAGCAGTGTTATGACCTCAATCGGAAATTTAGTCAACTTTGTAATTACGAAATTAATATGAACAAACCACACAACTGCAGGCGCTTGACTAATTGCAAACAAAACGTTCTTAAAATTGTTCATTAGAACCGCAAACTGTTATTGATAATAGCATACAAATTACACAAATTAATAACAAAAAAAAAAAAAATTAAAAAGAAAAGTATACATATATAAACAACCTGTAACAAATACGAGTCACAGAAACTAAACGCATGCAACCCCAGAATGAGCATTAATAACTGAAATATGCTCACTCGCCATCCACAATCACAGTCACAAACGCAGTCACAAGCTCAGTCACAAACGCAGTCACAACCGCAAACGGTGCTTATCATTTTCGATGGCTATTAAATTGAAACTCGTTGTAACGTTTCGACGCGTATCAATTTAATAGCTTTGATTATTGACTATGAATGAAAACAAGATCTAAAATCAAGCACATATTCTTGATCTAATGGCTGCCGATGATATTCTATGATACCAGATATTTCCTCTTCCTCACTTGATATGTGTAAAAATAGTTCGTAAATAGATTTATTTAGTGTATGCTCTATAATAAGTAATAGATACAAGAGTTTGTGTTGTCTTCAATGGATAATGGATACTGTAAATATTCATTATATGTAACGATACAATGTTGACAGAA